CAGGAAACACAAGGTCCTACTTTAATGGTAGCTGGTCAGCCTCGTTCATATGGTGAAGTTAGTGAAAATCCCGAGCTTGTGTCTCTCATGACAAATGAAGAGAGAGAAGCTTATATAAAAGTTGGGCAAGAAATGTTCCAGTCTGTCTTTGAATAAATACTACTGTATGAATATGCAAACTTATGCAAAATGGGTGAAGGCTGCTTTTGAAATAAGACAGTTTAATAGTTTAACTTATGTTCTTCAAAGTTTACCAGTAAAGGGTTAAGTTTTGTTTGAACTCCTTGCTGTTATGCAAGATAGTAATGCTGCAGTGGGTAACTACAGTTCAAAATACTAGCACTGCAGCAAAAGCAACCCAAAGTTACTATGGGTTTTCTGTAGGCATTGTGAATGCTGTAATTAGTTTTGGAGCATGAATCATTTCAAGGATACAATGTGATCTGATTAAAATAAAGTTTCAAAAGCAATGTTGCAATCTGTTCTAAGCAATCAATTATTCCACCTTCCTCCCAGACATAGCACATACTTCCAGTAGTGAAAATGAGTCCAAGTCCAACATGATTTGGTTTTGCTCCACACCAGTGTGTCCCCTAGTGTTTTGTTAGGTTGTTCACTGCACAACAGCAGCAGACAGGTGGCAGCAGAAAAGCTGTTACTAAATTGTGGCAGCTACAGAAAAGAACCAGCTCTGGTGGCCCCTAAACTTTCCTCTTAAAAACAATTACCTGAATTCTTCGTACTCATTGTTCCACAGAACTGTGTCTGAAGTGATGAACTGTACAATGGCTACTGGACAGTAAAATATAACATTTGTTTTGGTCCAGACTGGTAAGGAAGCAAGCAATGTATCAAGCAGGAGACTCTGCTCCTCAGTTCTCATTCACAGACTCGCCTGTAATTTTTAAGTAACATCTTCTCTACTACTACCACTGTAAAACCACATTCTACTAGCACTGAGCTACACACCAGTAGAAGGATTAGCATCAGAATATAAAAGAGAGCTTAACTTCTTCAGCAATTCTACTATTTATGCCCTTCTAGTCTACTTTCATTATTCATTGCTCAAACTGAAACACAGGAGGTTCCCTCTGAATGTCAGGAAACACTTTGTGAGCATGAGTGAGGGCTGGCACAGGTGGCCCAGAGAGGTTGGAGAGTTTCCTACCCTGGAGACATTCAAAAGCCACCTGAGCATAGTTCTGGGCAACCAGCTCTGAGTGGTCCTGCTTGAGCAGAGGGGTTGGACAAGATGACCTCCAGAGGTCCCTGCCAAACTCAACCATCCTGTGAAAAAAGGGGTAGAGAGAAAGTATCATCAAAGAAGCATCATTTCAGTGCATTACTCATACACACCATTCCAGGGCAAGAATGTGTGTTCATGCTATTTCTTGAGCTTAACATTTAATGATTTACCATATAAACTAGATTTGACTGGAATATGCACAAATCTTGTTCTACTTTATGAAAATGTCATCTTTTAGGTCTACTGAATGATTTTGTGCCAAGTTAGTGATTAAAAACTTTAATTTTGTTTCACTTCCATAGGTTTGCCTTTGTGACAACATAGCTCCTCTGTCCTCAAAACTGTAAAGTTTTTCCTGCGCACAGTATCACTGTGAGCTTAAATCCTGCACAGTAACTAAGCCGTCTTCAACCCTCTTGATACAGTTTTGTCTTTGGGGATGAGAGGTCCGTGTTTGTAATCTGCCATTCCAAAATTCACTCATAAAACCTGGAGACACTCAAACAAACTAAAAAAAGAAATCACAGAAGAATCACACTCTCATTTTATTCCAACTTCCAGCATATTTAGGCTTCACTGGCACTAGACAGTCTCCCACAGCATACAGCCATATTATTAGACTAACCTCAAATGAAGACAATTCTGAATTAAAGATGACCATTGCTTTTTAACTACTTTGAGAAAATCCTTGTATTTGTTTAAGGTAAGCAGGACCTTTATAATGCAGCAGATATTCTGAATAAGCTATTTCTAGCTCAATTTTATGACCTACTGTTATTAGTGACTCTGATCTGGAAAAGTGAAGAAAATTTTTGTTCTGGTTCAAGTTTTATAATCTACTTTTCTACAATCCTAATTCTGCCTTTCCCATGAGCCTGCATTAGGTATCAACTTGAACTGTTTTTTTAAACATTAACTTTAATTGTAATTTGCTAAATTTATTTCTTTCTACACAAAAAACTTTTACAAAGTCAAATATTTTAGGAACAAGTTCTACAGGCTTTCAACTGCAGCACTTTTAAGTGTTACATGTGAAAAGACAGTAAAACTTTCAGACAGGTTTAGTCTTTTGCATATTGAAAGTGCAAAACAGAAAGTGCAGAAAAAAACAGATAGTTTCTGCAGTTGACTACCAAACCAGGGTATTTACTTCACCTCAGATAAATGTGCTGATAGAAATGAATTCCACAGGCTATGAAGAGGAACTTTTTTTTTTTAATACAGACCTGCTGTACTTAGGGTATAAAGGCAACATGTAGGTACATACTGTGTCTACACCTCATATTAATAGAAGCTGGAGGAACTTAGTGGGATAAGCGTCTCTTGTCCCAGGAAAATTACCAGTGTTTCTCGGAAGAGGAGTAACAAATGGCTAAAGCATGCTGCCACTTAAAAGTCAGTTAACTTCCAACAACAAACTGCATACCATTTTGTAAACCAGAGGAAAATTTTTCAAAAGACAAATTTACAGACAAGTCCAAACTTTATTTAAAACTACCATTTTGAACAATTTTAAAATTTACTAAACAAGTCACAATAAAAAAAGATTAAGACAGAAAAAGAACAGTGCAGCAAAACTGAAGAGTATTCAGTTCCAGCTGTTCAAACTGCCACAGGCAGAAGTTAACATACCTATCCTAAGAGGTGGTGTGTCAAAAATTTTACATTTTTATACACTTCCAGAATTCTGGGAAATTAGTGCTGATCTTCCATATGCATTTGTATACATGGAGTTTATAAATGCAGATATCTTCAGGTTATTTTCATGCACTTTGAGCCCCAAAAGTTTCTGTAAAATAAGAGTATACGTATTATTGTCTAACAGCTACAAGGCATGAAACACAGCTTTTGACCACATTTCAACTCCTTGTAAGCATCCATTAAAGGACCCTGATGAAATATTTCCTCCTCATCCTTTTTTGGCAAGCATTTTGAACCATGTCTTACTTGAACAGCTGCAGCCATCGCCCATACACAGATGAAGAATGGCTTTAGCTACCAATTTTGCGTGGCATGCATTCTCAGCCAGACTGTTCCCACACCAGGCATATGCATCAGGAGTCACCAAACTGACGTGACGGACTTCTGCTAGCATAGCTATGACAAACAGAATGGTGATGAGCAGTGAGTGTAATGGAAGGAAAGGTGCACCTTCCTTCACGCTCCATCCTGGAAAATCCTATGCTGTCACTACAGCTGCATTTATTTATTTATTTATTCTTTAAAAAAAGCAGTTTCATCAGCTCATACTGTTTGAGGAATTGGAACTAGCTACAGTAGCAGAAAACCATCAGAATACCCAGTTAATGCAGTTATAGATGCTATTACTATACCCTATAAGCCTAACAATAGAAAAGAAGCCTCTAATACCATAACTTGTGTCACAATATCAACATTATATTAAAAAAATAAAAGTTTCTTCGACTAGTATTACCATTAAGTTTTTGTAGCTGTACAAATACTGTTTCATTAACGTGACAAATCTTTACTGCTGTCATACACACCGAAAATTTTTTCTTATGGTATGCTTCATATAAAAAATAATTTTCTTTTCTCTGAAGAGATATTTTATTATTCTGAAAAGCCTCCTGAACTTTTCTATTACAAAAATACTGAGCAGTCTGTCAGAATCTAACAGAAGTATATAGAAGGGACATGGAAGACAAAATCCCTTCATATCAATAAATCATTTTCAAACACATGATAACAAAAAAGGATATTCTTTTAGCACCATGATAACTGCTTACTTCAATCAGTGATAACAAGATATTTAAATTCTAGGCCATTCCAGAGTGTTTTCCCAATAGGTGTAGAGGATTTAAAAAATAATCTTTACCAGGTTCTTTCAGAGTTTGGGCATCTCCTACTAACTCCTGATCCTGAGCTCCACCTCCATCCAGTAATTCATCAGACAAACTGTTGGTTTGGGCCTCTGTTGCCATTTTCTTCATTAAATCTGCCTTTGTAACAGATAAAGCAAAACTCAAAATTCTGGATAATCCTTATTGCTGTCATTTAGGGTGTGTGCTTCTAAACAACAACCCCACAAAAAATAGCAAAATACCTCTGAATACACTGCAAGTTTAAGGGGCAAGTCTTCAACTTTCACAAAGTCATCTTCATCAGATTTTTGACTTACGTTTCCAGAACCAGCTTCCTGTTAATAAAGTAAACCAAACATAAGAGAATAGTGCAACTTTGTTTTAGTTTCACTCCAAAACTAGATTTTCTTCCTATTATAATAAAGTACATGAAAAAACAATACCCATGTCAAATCTGCAGACAAAAACTAAACAGGACCATAAAATAGAAATAACACTGACATAGAAAAAAGCTGCTACTTTATCTTAGATGTGTCTGAACTGAAATATACGCACATATTCATTCACTAACACAGGTGACTCCGTATCAGGGCTACCAGCCACAGAACTCTCAGAACTTGCAGCAGATGATTTGTTTCCTACACACGTTGTATCTAGTGTTTGAGTTTCATTTACAGGTGAAGATGAGCTTGATTCTTCTGTTTTCTTACTGGCTGTTATAAAGGATTCTGGGGTATTGACTGTTAAAGGTGGTGTATTCTCCATGACATTGAGGTAATGAGGCAAAATTGTAGCCACATCTTGTTCACCTAAAACCACAAAACTCGATTTTAACTAGGTAGAGATAGCAAAAGACTCAGAGCAGACAAAAATTCCAGATTATTTTTCTTTTTTTACCAATTATTATTCAAAGCTACAAATGAATAATGAAATTGAACTAGTCTGACTGAAATAAAACATCACTTGTACTCTCATACACTGAAGTAGCAGCAATTATCACAAGACAGTATCTGACTTATAAGTTTCTGACTTGATACAGCTTTTAAAAAACCATAAAAAACCCCAAAGCCCAACTTTCAGAACTATATGACCTACTGTAAAATATTCATTCTAGGTATAAAGAGATATAATACAGAACAATAAATTCCTTAACATTTTGCCACATTCTTGTGGCAACACAGGATCTACTCAACTAGTGCTTTCAGTCTACAAAAAAAGACCAAGGACAAAACCAGTATTTGCAACAGAAAAACACAAGAAAAAGAGGTAACAACAGTTATATTACAAGTAACATTCATAATTCCTGGTAGAGTTTCTGTCTTTTGACAGAAAATTATTTCTTGGTTCTTCATTGGTTACAACACAGCATTACTCACAGAAATAAATCTTTAAAATATAAAATTATTTCAATTGCTAGTAAATAGTACTAGCAGAAAAAACAAGTACTAGACAAATCTAAACATCAAAATATTGTAACAAACAAATTGACTGTGCTGCAGTTTTGCAGCAAAGGCTGCAACAATCAACTGAAATTCACTCTACTGTCAACCATCAAAACCACATCTACCTACCTAAGATTATTCCAGGTTTCCTCTTTAAAAGGTTTGCTGTGTCTATATCAACACAGAATTATCTAGTCAATTGATATGGTTCCATGAAAAAAAAACCAAACCAGTCCAGTGAACTTCCTCTTAATTACATATATTACAAGCACTGTCCAACATAATTCTCACGATATGCAATTTCATACAGAAGTGTTAATCTCTCAGTTACTGCAAACCATAAAGTTAAAGGGCTTACCTTTAACATTAACAGATTCCTGTTCTGATGACAGAGTCTCACTGCTTTTTGTCTTTTTCAATTCTTGGTTTGAAGTCTATTGGGGAAGGCAAAAACAAGTTAGAACTAATTCTACTTATCAGCTTCACAGCTTACTGGCTAATTTACTCTTCCTTGCGAACTAGAAACACACTGCACACTTGCTCCACGTTTTTGTCTTTTAACTAGTTTGAAATAAAGATAGCAAGTTCTACTCTCTGTTCATCACCTGGTCAACCACGCTTTACAAGACTATTAACACCGATATGTGTGTTTTATCTGAACATTTCATTTTCTTTTCACTGTAGTAGTTTCCAGATAAAACTCTTTAGTTCCCCTGAAAAGACCTATTGTTTTAGCCTTTCAAGTAAAACGTTCCAGTTACATCCTTGCCTAAATGTTACTAGCTGTTGAGTAAACCAAAGTTTCAAAAGACTCAGAGGTCAATCTTATTTACTGAAATGTAAAGAACTGACAAGTCTCCAGAACCAGGTCACACACATCCAAATGTTTTTAAGGAAACTAAGAGTGAAAAGACAATAAAAGCCAATAATATTTCACTGTTGTTCTAGAAAAATGTATTACATGAAGAAGAGGAAAGACAAACCAAAGACATGCTAGAATACAAGAGTCAATAGCTTTTGCAAATGAAAGCCCAATTAGAACTTGATGTCAGCAAACACAGAGGAAGAACCAGTTAATGGTTTAAAGCTTTTCATTTTTTTGAAAGTTTATCCTTTCTTCTGCAAGTTAACATTTTCTGTCTCTGATAGCAGATTTAAATACTAGTTTTGTGTGTGTATCCATCTGTCCATTTTGGCAGCAGTCGTACCAATAATAGATTCAAGTGGGGAATGAGCAGTAGATATTTTGTATGTTGCAGATATTGCTTTCAGGTAATCTCCTCTATCATTCTTCTACTTGGCTAGTGTGAAAAGAGTGCAACAAGAAAAACTGAAATGTTCTATGCAGACATTTGTCTGAAAAGCTATGCAGTGGCTTAGGTTTGTTCTGCATTTACAACTTTGGTGATACCTGTTCATTTTCAGTTGTTGTTTCACTGCTGGCTTGTAGTGATGTCTGCACATCAACGGGTCCTTCCTCAAATTCTATTTCTTCATCTTCATTCTCATCTTCTCCACTGCCATAGTTAGTCAGAGCTTGGGTTTCTGCTTTTGATAAACCTGAAAGCATATCAGTGTAAAACCCCCTTCATATTGGATTTACATATTGACAGAGCCTGACATATTGGATTTACATACTGACAGAGTATAAGTCAGGCTATAAAATCCAAATGCCTTTTGGGAATTTACTGCAATGATCAATTATAACTCATACTTCAAAACATTCTTTGAAATTAAGATACAGTGATTGCTTACTTTCAAAGATTCATATGCTCTACATAAGCTATATTACCAACTAACACAACACTGTTGGTCTGAAATATCTAAGTTATTAAACAAGTTGATGTGAAGAATGTAAATATAAGGGAACACAAGCCATGAGTAGTTGGTGTAAGATGACAAAGAGAACAAAAACTTATCAAAAATATGCAAGCTTAAAGAGAAGCATATTCAAAAATCATCATTTGCAGAACTGCAAAAAATTTCAGCAAATTTCACATCCTTCAGGTTAAAAGTTGAGAAGCTTAAAGTTTAGCTGAGACAGGAAATGTAACTTCCATAATTAATCCGATTCCAAAGAACAAAAGCTCCTCTAATTGGAATGTTTCATATCTAATTGGAATATCACTGAGTATGCAGCAGTACTTCACCCAGATCCTGTTGTAAAATTAGTTGGTCAAAACTACAGTGAAAGCATTGAATAATGAGCTACAAAAATCACTTACTTATTGCCACTGGACCGCTTTCACTTTCCTCATCTTCCTCTTGATCAGACACATCAGACCTAATACTCTCAGGAACTCCATTACCATAATAAATTTCTGAGTCCTGCACTGGTTTAACAGTTTCAGTCTCATCCTTGTCCTAGGAAAACAAGGTATACTGTGCAATTTCATGTTTTGTTATTTAAAGGTTAAGTTAGAGTTTCTGCATCAATGAGTCACTTTGTTTCTCAAAAAATCTACAGACTAAAAACTAATGTTTAAGTCCTTAAGGCCTTGAAATAAATACTGCAAAGCTACTCCTGAAACAAAGCATCAGAATCTACTATAAGAGATCATGCACTGTTCAGACATAGCTATCAAGGACATTGTCACCAAGTATTTCATTATCTGAACAGGTTCACATCGATCAGCATGTTAGCTTAAAAAAAAAAAAAATTAAATTAGATTTGTCATTAGCACGAGGAAGATAAGACACTTGCATTATTAACTTCTAGTGGCTTCCCTGCTTCTCCTAAATGACCTCTAGTGAAAATTAGGAGTATTCCTAACTGCTGCTTCTCATTTCTTTGGCAATAGCTACTCAACAGTTTCTCTATTGAATGATTTGCTAAATACATTGAGTGAGAGAATTCTGCTCAGTCTATGCAAACCACAAGTAAAGCCCTGAGTCTGGCTCCAAGTTTGAAAGGGCCCTCCTACACTACAGCAACCATAAGAAGTGATATACAGGCTCCCATTTTCACTTCCAAAGCGGTGTGACAGAAGCTCTAAGCCCTAAAAGAACGCACTGACTCTGTGCCCATACATGCCTATACATATGCCTATGCCCATTTAGGAAAGCATTCAATGTTCTACTTAGAACATTACCTATATCTTTCCCTTGGCTGGAAAAAGCTCAATGTTCCAGCAGAAAATACAAAACTTCATATAAAACCCTTCTTTCCAAACACAATTATTTTTTTAGTGGTTTTCAAAACAAACTCAAAGATGAAAGGGAGAAATTTCGAGGTCTAAGATTTAATACTCAGAGCACACAAACTTTGACTCTGAGGACCTCAAGTACCATTTGTCCCAACTCAGAACACCTGCCTTCTCCTTAAGATGAAAATTAAAACAACTTATCCCACATCATTAAAAAAGAAAAGGTTAACTGCTAAAAATAATTAAACATCATCTCTATTTACTGTCCTTGTAATTTCTTAATTCTTTAAGAAATTACTACATTCTCAATGCTCTGAGCTGAGAACACAGTAAGTACCTTTGGAAGAAGTGTGGTTTTTTCTTTAAAATATGGAAAATTAGCACTAAAAGGAAAACCAAGATCCTACCCTAAAGCTGCTCAGCAAGTATCACAAATTATTCCATTTTAGCTGTGTAGCATTCAACATAAACTTTGTTCTTTTTAGACTTTCAAATTGTCAGTCCTAAAGCAAAGCTCATTCTACAAAAAGGTCACCAACAATAAACAGAAAAGTATCTTTGTTGATCTGAGTGCACTTCTTGAAAGGTAACAAGATGTTTTATAAGAAATGCAAACAGTCTTTACACTGGCAATGGTTCTGCAGTACAAACAGGAATAAAACCAAGAGCAACCAAAGAACTGATATCCAAGTCATGTTTACTGAATGTGTATAATAACAAAGACTTATTGATGAAGGCAGAGTTTCTGGTAGTCATTTTCCAGACAGTTAAATTAAAAAAGGGAAATTATCATTTACTTTGTTACTTTGATAAAGTAAATCACTGAAAATAACAGAAGATAAACTCCATGATATTTAATAAATTTATAAACACTAGGAAATGCTTACAGATACTGGATTTATGTCACAGAAAAAAGGTAAGACTAAGTGATCTGTGAAATTATCTGAGGAATAAAGACAGTTAAGAAGCATAAACATACTTTGTCCTCATCGACATCTTCAGCAGATGAACAAACATCCACTTGGAGACCTTTTATTGCCTAGAAGAAACACAAACTGTCTTCAATTCTAAACTGAAATAGCTTTGAAATACTGAATGAAGCTAAGGCTTCATGAAAGCCTGTCTGAAATGCCAGTCTTACCAAGAATTGCTATCTCAAAATGGCAGTAAGCCACAGGGACTTCTATACTAGAAGAGGTGTTTACAGAGATGTCTTCAAAATTTTAGAGTTGCAAAATATTAGGAAAAGTGTGTTAGCCTTTTTTATTTAAACAACAGTGTTTACATGGGCTAATCCTCCAGTCTGTGGTTAAATCATATCTAACATATAGCACTAGATATACCAGCTCCCATCAAGACAGAGAGCTATGCTTTTCAGTGTGGAATCTAAAACCAGTCAGCTTCCTGGACTCAAGACAGCCACAAAATCAAGCAAGATGAGATGTGTCTATATCAGGATCCCAGACCCGAAAGCTGTGAGAAGACCATATAGAGATAATTGTGCGCGTCCGTACAAAGTAACCAGGAACTACCAGTTCTGGCTCATCTCTGGCTCTGTGGAATCTGAACTGCTGCCACAGCAACAAGGCAAACATTGACTTAACCCTAGTTCTCTGTCTTCCAGGAGAGGAGAAGAAATGCCAGACCTAAGTTGGATCCATGCACTCTCATGGCAGTGTATAAACCAGTCCTAATCCTTTATGTAACAAAGGCCCAATGAACAACTTCAGATAGGAAGTCATGTCCAAAACTTGATTTAGATTCAGAGTGTCCCTCTGTCCTCTTTACAAGGCACTCCATAGTCTCTCTCACACTACCCAGATTACTGGTATATCTAAGTGGAACTACATTGAAATGTAGCTGATAATAAGTTTAAAACTACTTATAGGACTTTATAGTTTGACAGATTGACAAAGTATCTTCCATCGATATTTTAAAATAAACACAAGTTAAGGGTTTGCTTTGGTATTTTTGTTTCTAAAAGAAAGCTGAAAGGACACTGAAGTCATCACTAACCTATGCAGGAAGAAATATTGAGGTAGACACCTGACCAATTTAAGTATGTGAACATCATCTGGTTTACTGTTTGTTTTGTAAACAGTTCATATAACTAAAGCTATGTTTGTAAAAACTGCAATACTAAAATTAAAAATGGTGATGTGACATTGTTAATAATGTAAATGGTGCAAAACCCAACCAAATTTGGTTTGTTGGAGGAGAATACATACTACAGTCTCAAATATTTCTGAAAAGTTTATATGTATTTTACACTCCAAGTCTAGAAAGCAAAACTTTCTACATATGCCAACAAGCCAACTATTTGATGGCTTCATAGGACTTCTTTAAGTTGGGTAAAGATGGTGCCTGACTAAGCTACTGCAAAGAAAGCTGTCGGCATAACGGGAGAGATGATGAACTGGGATCCCCATATGTCAAAGTATTTAGCTTGGATAAAGTTACATTTCTTCACAGGAGCCAGTATGGGGCTATGTTTTGGACTTGAGATGAAAATAGCATTGATAACACAGGGATGTTTAAGCTATTGCTGAGCAGTGCTTACAAAGAGTCAAGGCCTTTTCTGCTCCTCACACCGCCCCACCAGTGAGTAGCCTTGGGTGCACTAGAAGTTGGGAGAGGACAAAGCTGGGACAGCTGATCCCAGGTGACCAAAGAGATATTCCATACCATATGACATCATGCTCAGCATATAAAGCTGAGGGGAGGAGGAGGAAGGAGGTGACATTTGGAGTTATGGCATTTTTCTTCCCAAGTAACTGTTACACATGATGGAGCCCTGCCTTACTGGAGATAGATGAACACCTGCCTGTCAATGGGAAGTAGTGAATTAATTCCTTGTTCTGCTTTGCTTGTGTGCGGCTTTTGCTTTCCCTATTAAACTGTTTTTATCTCAGCCGATGAGTTTTCTCACTTTTACTCTTCTGATTCTCTCCCCAGAGCCACCAGGAGGGAGTAAGCGAGTGGCTGTGTGGTGCTTAGCCACCTACTGGGGTCAAACCACAACTACTCAATGACCTCAGATGTTAATGCTCTTTCAACACTTGACTATTCCTTCCTATGTGCACATATAACCTTTAAAACATACTTCCTCTGAATTACCAAAAACAGGGTCTACACAATTAGGTATCTGTAAGAGACACCCATCTATAATACACGACATCTCCCTTACTGTAGAAAACTAGTTCATGTTTCTACATAAGCAATACTGCGACTACACATCCCTAATTTGTAAAACAAACAAAAAACTTACACACAATGTATGAACTAAGGTAATCAAAGCAGGAAATACAGGAAATTTAGGAAATACAGTTATTTAGGAAACTCAGAAAAACTACATTTTTCAAAAATATAGCAGAACAAACCTCTTTAGCATAGGACTGTATCACTTCAGTAGCTTCTATTCTTCTTTTACATCTCTGCTTTACAGAAATACTGTTGTTGTCCAAGTCTTGCATGAGTTTAAAAAAGGCTAATTCATTAAATAACACTTCAGAGATTTCCACAAGAAGATCCTCCCCACAATCTTTTAATTTTCTACCAGCAAATTTTGCCAGTGAATCCTGTGAAGAAAAATAATTCTTCAGTTTTTGAAACAGGCTTTCAAATATTAAAGACTAAGTATCTGTCATATTCCTAGTAACTCAAAATTAGTCAGGTATATAATAGCTTGTACTTTTTAAAAAACATGATCCTAAACAGAATTTAAGTAGAATCACTAGTCACATAA